CGTAGAGAGGCCACAAATCCAGGTATTATAAACAGCCGTTAAACAAGTCTGGCCAAAGTTTTGAATAAGAGTTGAGCAAGCAGCTTCCCCAGAACTTCACGATTCACGGCGACTTCCGGCTTCAGAATTCCACAAATCGTATCAAAATAAAAGTCCTGCCGCACATGAATGTGTGACGTCATAGGTCGCGCAAAAAAAGATTTTTTATTGGTTTCAAAAACAGTTAACAACAGATTGCATAAATACATTAGAAAAAAACTGAGATGTTGTTACAATCTGCATAATACATTTTAAAGAAAGAAGAAAGAAAAAAGAAAGAAAAGAAAGAAAGAAAGAAAGAAAATACCAGAGGTCAAATGACATAAGGTTATACATTGAAAGCCAATTTTTACTTTTAAAAGATTTTTTGTTTTTTATGCCTATTAAAGACAAAATATATGACTTATAGTCAATTTAAAAAATAGCCGGAATGTAAATAAATTTCCAAAAATTTACACTTGTGAATAAAAAACTTACCAATTATAATAAAAGAACAATAAATGCAAGATTTAGAGTTGTAATAAAAGAAAATGATGTCAAAAGTATTTAAACAAACATCAACATTAGTTTTTTCTGAGAGATAAATACATTGTTCCATCCAAAATATCTTCACACAAGAACATTCACAAAAAAGATGAACAATGGTTTCTTCCAAGTCACAAAAAGTCCATTTGTTTTCAATATCCATTTACTAAATAAGCTATCACAAGGATAACTTCTATGTAATATTTTATATGTATTTTTTTTTTTACTTCGTTAGTTATCAAATATTTGAAGATTCCAGGTAACGTCCCAATTTATGTTATATGTAGCCAGCCATTTAAAAGAAGAAGCTGGAATTTTTTTGGTTAAAAAATTCTGCATCACTCAATTATTGAATTTATCCCCAACTATTGATATCCCTTCTGTTGAGATTGGGTTGTTTGGTCTATAGGTAGGATACAGATGAAAAGTGTGTACCCCTTTCAATAAAGTTTTTATAAACCACTGTGAATGGGATTAATTACTGTGTTGTTTTCTTTTACCGAGGGTTTAAAATTGAGCTTTTTAGAAAACTCAGAAAATGAATATAACGTACCATTGTCATATAATAATTGACTAATAAAACAAATATCATTTAAGAACCATTTCTCGAAAAAGAAAGTTTTATTTTTGTAATCAATATTTTGGTTGTTCCTAAGGAAGCAGCGGTGAGGAGAAACATTTGTTTGTACTTTAATAACCATCACAATAAGACCTGTTTATGGGTAATGTACCAATTGAGAAGGGGCATTGTAAAAATAAGGAGAACCTCCAATTTGATTAAAAATAAAGTTGGGAAATTTATTCCACACTGAATCAGGTTTTTTAAGAAATCTCTTTGGCCAGCTTATTTTTAATGTATCATTAAAGAAAGTGAAGTCGACAATCTCTAAACCACCGTCGCTAATCTTGTTTCTTAGAATATCTTTTTAATCTTATGTGGTTTGTTTTTCCCAGGAAAATTCTTTGGTTTTCTCATTTTTACATTAATGAGAGAAAAATAATAATGCCTAAACCTTATTTTGGATGACGTGTCTTTTTTCAAATGTTATAAAAAATGTGACAACAGACATGTCAGACGATTGTTATTATTCTGTATATACTTTCCCAAGATGTAAAATTTTCTGGACAAATTTTTCTGAAAGTCTTCACTGGAAGAGAGCATGGTTATTACCTGAAAAGTTCAGCATATCCAACAAAATCGAAAGATACATTTTAAGATTTTGCATAATGTATATCCTACAGATTGTGAATTATTTTGATCTATCTAACATATACATGATGAAACTTTATTCCACTTATTCTATAGTTGCACTCACGTTAAACTTCTTTGGAACATTATTTTTTATTTGTATCATCCTTGTTTAAAAATGATTTAAATTTGTCTATAAAATATATATTTCTGTATTTCTCAGGTAATGATCATGCTCTCAATCTTATTGTTATTTTATTTGTGTTACACTGTACATTTTTTACACGCAAAAAATATGTTCCTAAAGGCAATACCTGGATTTAATACTTTCCTTGCTGAAATTTCACTCTATTTTTAATCTCGTAAGCTTACTAAAAATAAGAATAATGATGAGTTTCTTAAAGCTTCATTCATTCATTTTCTTTTTGGCTTAGTCTCTTTATTAATCTGGGGTCACCACAGCAAAATGAACCACCAACTTATCCAGCATATGATTTTACGTAGCGGATACCCTTCCAGCTACAACCCAACACTGGGAAACACCCATGCACTCTTACATTCACACACATACACTACGGCCAATTTAGTTTATTCAATTCACCTGTAGTGCATGTCTTTGAACTGTGATGGAAACCAAAGCACCCGGAGGACATGCACAAGAACACGGGGAGAACACAGAAATGCCTACTGACTCAGCCGAGGCTCGAACCAGCGACCTTCTTGCTGTGAGGCGATTGTGCTAACCACTGAGCCACCGTGACACCCTTCTTAAAGCTTATGATAATCTTTTTTCTGAAAGATTGAGGCTTTGCAAAGTTTTTTTTTCTCTCTTTCCTAAATTTTGTTGTTTTATTTTCTCTTTAATGCAGTGTTGTTATTTTTCTTGTATTCAGTTTTTTTTTAAACGAGAGGAAGCAAACAGTTAGATTTTAATTAAAGGTTAACAAAAAAAAACTTTGGTTTTCTCACCATCATCTTTTCCCAAACATGTTTGTGTTTCTGCTGTTATACACAAAACAGAATATTCTGAAGGCTTTTGTAACGTTGCGATGAAAAAAACACACTTTAGCAAGTCAAGAAAGCTCAAAATTGACAGATGCTTCATATGAATGCTCCACTGAAAGAATTTTATATTTTTGTGGTAACTGTGCTTTTAAATTATGATAAAAAAGTGCAACAATGTGTTGTTCAAGAGTTCACACTCTGCTGAAGATTGATTAAAAAGCTTGTTTAGCATGCTGTCCCGGGACAGAGCCCTGAGCTCATAAGATCCCTAAGCCCGGGGCTCCCTCCCGTTTGCAAGCCGAGAGGGGAGTTTAAGTTCAGGTAAATCTCGAGAACTCTCCTGCTGTAGATAATGAACAGACAGTGATACTTATCTCTTATAAGAAGATAACTACTTATTAGGAGCATGTCTATGGTGCCAATTTGGATTAGTCAATTAACTTAAGTTGCATGTTTTTGGATTGTGGGAGAAAACTGGGGAAACCCAAGTGAGCACGGGGAGAACGTGTAAACTCCACACAGAAACGTCGGCTGGCTTGGTAAGGACTAGAACCACTGACGTTCTTGCTGTGAGGCAACAGTGCTAACCACTGAGCCAGCCATCTAGGAAAGGAGGAGGGGTGGAAGGGGGGATTCTTCAAAACAAAGATGGCTGCATGTTATATGGAACTTAGGGTATTTATAGTGGTGAATCGTCTGATTGGTGAATCATAAATTGAATAATGCATGACCAGATGCAAGCAATCATAAGCACGTGATGCTCTTGAAATTAGTTTATAAATAAACTTCACAAATATAAAAAAAAAATGAATGTTTTATTTTTATCAATGTAATTTTAGTGCACTGATGAAATATTTATAGCCACTAAGAAATATTCATAGCAATAACTATAATCACTAAAAACATTACCAAACATGTTTGGTGTACATAAACTGCAGCAAAATTAAGACTTTAGGTAGCAGAGTGGCTGAAACATCCAACCCAATGCGTTATGGTCAAGTGTAAATGTACTTAATACTCACAACCAATCAAATAAAACAGTAATGGAATATTGTACAACTAAGAAATCACTATTTTGTTACAAGTATTAGAACAATTATTACAGTCACAAGCTAACAACATTATGAAATAACATATATACATGTAAAATATATTTATAAAGCACTTATACAACATATCTGTGTATATTTCATAGAAATTTAGACAGCTAGCTTAAATGCTATTTAAATTAATCATATAAAATTAAAGTCTGAGCTAAAATAAGCCTTATATTCTCTTATACACTTGTATAAATAAAATACATAAACACATGCATGGCGATGCAGGGGCGCAGTAGGTAGTGCTGTCGCCTCACAGCAAGAAGGTCGCTGGTTCGATCCTCGGCTCAGTTGGCGTTTCTGTGTGGAGTTTGCATGTTCTCCCTGCGTTCAAGTGGGTTTCCACCAGGTGCTCCGGTTTCCCCCACAGTCCAAAGACATGCGGTACAGGTGAATTGGGTAGGCTAAATTGTCCGTAGTGTACAAATGTGTGTGTGGATGTTAATTATTCATTAATTTTCCTTCGGTTTAGTCCCTTATTTATCAGGGGTCGCCACAGTGGAATGAACCACCAACTATTCTGGCATATGTTTTACGCAGCAGATACCCCAGGTGCAATCCAGTACTGGGAAACACCCATACACTCACATACAGTATACACACACAATTCGGCCAGTTTAGTTCACCCAATTCACCTATAGCGCATGTCTTTCTTTGGACTGTGGGGGGAAAATGGAGCACCCAGAAAAAACACATAACAACACAGGGAGAACATGCAAACTTCACACAGAAATGCCAATTGGCCCAGCTGGGACTCGAACCAGCAACCTTCTTGCTGTGAGGAGACAGTGCTAACCACAGAGTGTTACCAACTATTTCAATTATTCATCTAAAATTAATTTGAAGTCTGAGGTTAATTAAGATTTTACAAATATAGTGAATTATATAGTGAATTTAAAAATATAATAGCATATAATATGTATATATATATATATATATATATATATATATATATATATATATATATATATATATATATATATATATAAAATAGCAATCCTTCAAATGATTAAATTTAATCGTACAGCTAATATTATGAATATTATGGTTGCATAAACAGCAAGACAACATGTCTGTTGCCTTGTTTTGACTCAGTTATAAGTGTCGGCAGTAAAAATGCCATGTAAGACAGAAAACACCATTCATACTTGTTAAAGTGCTTTTTTTTTGCCCAAGTCAAATTATTTTAGGAATCTTGGCAGTAAACTGCATTCATACCACCGTCTGTTGGTTCCCTGCACTAACAGTGCAAAAAAATATCAGCAAATACGTGACAAATACTGAGCACAGCTGTTACTGTCTCTGTATCTCCTTTATCCTGGAAACCAATGATCCAAATCCCTTATTCTTAAGCAGAGTCAGTGTGTTGTGCGCCACAGATGACCGAAGCAGAACATCGTCAGGACTGGAGGAGCTCCATAGGAGGAGCCGGTAAATAAGAGAGGAACCAGATGATTCGGTTTGGGAGTCCCAGTTGAGTGAAAACCCCCAGCGCTCTTTTCCCGAGGGCATTTCTGAGAGAAATCCTGCATAACTGCTGCAGACTGAGCGGCGTGGCTGAACACAACAAACAACAAGGTGTTACTGGGATGGTGGAAATCGTTTTCTGAAAAGCTGATAAAATAAAAAGCTAATTGTATTATTTTAGATTCACAGATTTTGTAATCAGGGTTATTATAATCACTAAAACCAACAGATTTATTTTTTGTTTAAAGCAACATTTACATCTGTACATCTTTATTATGCATATAGAGATATAGCCTGCTTTTAGGCCTGTCACAATAATCAATATATCGACTTATTGCACAACGCATGGAAATGACCTCTACAATAATGAATATCAATAATAAACGAAAGGCTGAAGCATTTTACTTGTATGCACTAGTTTTTTTAATGTAACTAATAACTACTATTTGTTCTGTAGGTTATGGATAAAATATGGTAATTCCTACTACCCAATTGTAATATTTTAATAAAATTAATTTGATTTTTGGAAATCACCGAGCGACCCACACTCATTTTCCTGCGATCACTGTACTATATAACTGCAGGTTAACTATGTTTATATATAATATTTCTAATTGTTAAAAACGAGTTGTTACAAGTTAATTAGCTAAAGACCCCAAGACTCACATTGCCAGTTTTGTGGTGAACAATTCATTCAACAATTCAAATGCCCTTGATATCTTTTATTGAGATCTGAAATGTTGGTGAGGAGGAGGAACCTGTTAGATTGTATTAACTCTCCATGAACCCTTTTCCAGATTTTTCTGAATGAAACGCCTACTTTACTACATTTACTACAAAAAATAACAATCGCAGCTTCCAGTTCATGGGGATTTTAAAGTTATTAGTAACTACTAAAGCTATAGTAATGATTAACCTTCACTTATCTGAATTTGATTGTAATGCAATAATGTTCACTTTTTGCAAAGCTGCTTTGAAACAATAACTATTGTGAAAAGCGCTACACAAATCAACTTGAATTGAACTAAATTGAATTGATATTTTCCAAATAATAACCATCTGATCATATTTGTTACTTTAAATAATTAATTATTCATCAAAGGCAGCAACACCAAAGCTCCAAAAAGGCAAATTTGTTAAGTTAAAAAGGCTGACACAAAGCGTGTAACATTTCCAGCCACACAGCTCTTCATCAGATGAGGGCCGTGTGGCTTGAACGTTACACGCTTAAAATTGGTCAAATGTAATTAATAAAAAAAGAAATATGATTAAAAACAAAATAATTCTAAAACATTTACCTAAAATTAAAAACTAGAAAACAATTGAATCTATTACCGTACGTTCACACCGAAAGCAGCGAGAGCGTCCAAGGTCGATCTGGCCGCCCTGGCGACAACGCTGTCTGCCTTCAGCTCTGGCGGCGAGAGCGTCAAAACTCGCTACTCGTACTTAAAGGAGCCGTTGCAGCATTATCAGTTACATTCCTGCATAAGACATGTTTTTAGCGTGAAAATGTTGCGCACTTCTTATCAAATTCATACAACAATGGAAGATCAAGTTGCATGTGGTGTGGCTTTGCTCTATTTATCCAATATGTGTCCATATGTCTGAAATATCCTGAAGCAGCAGTACTGTTTTGTACAGTCACATCGCGTGAGATTCCCGCTTTTTAAAGATAAATTTATATAACATTAATGAACATCAGTAACTCGCCAGTAACTTATTTAATGTATGTTCCTGTAAGAAAACATTGTAAATAATTGGAAATCCGGCGACCGCAATAATCAAACCCTTGGGAACAACTGTGTTCGGAACCAAAGTTCACAGGTCTGTGTTCTCTGAACTGCTATCAAGCGGTGGACATCTTTATTCTGATTGCTTGCCGCCGAACCGCGTCATAGCTCATTACCATAAAGTTGACTTCATTTCAACTCTCCTCGACGCTCACGCCGGCGAAGACGCGCCGCGCTGCTCCTCGCCGCTTATCGTCGCCTATCGCCGCCGGCTCTCATTGAAAATGAATGACTTCCGGCTACTTTGACGCTCTTGTCGCTTTCGGTGTGAACGTACGGTTAATAACAAGTACCTCAGTGATACTAAACTGAATTAATAATGCTTTTCATCACTTTTTAAATGATCACTTTCAAATAAAACCAGCCAGTTTTGCTCCTGTGCCTTGAAAAAGCTTTGGCTTCTCTTCACTTGAGGAGTTTAGTTTTAATAAATGTTCTGGTTAAACAAAATCTGAATGTTGATTGTAGTTCTGAAGTATCTTTTAGAGTGAATAACGAACACATATGCCCACATACGGAACAGTGAACATAAATATAATGAACTTACATTCGTAAAACTCTAAGCAGAGGGCGGACGCTGAACTGGATCTGGTGTACTGAATTGGCTTTTTTCCAAGGTTGTCTCTGGCAAAGATATTTCCCCCAAATTCAACCAAAAGCTCAATTAGTTCCAGATTTTTGACTTTAGCAGCATGATGAAGTGCCGTCTCATGAAGCTTAGCAGCATTCACATTTGCACCTAAAATCCAAAAAGAAGTCAATTAAACCAAAGAAATGGAGAATGTGCAATACTGAAAGAACAAAACATCTGGTTCACGTTCATTTTACAGGGGTCCTATTGTGCTCTTTACACTTCAAAAAAGATCTGAAAAAGTACAAAACACATAGTCGCTCCAAAATTAATTGATCTCTATATCAGTAAAACTCCATCTGAACTACTCATTTTAATATTGTTTTTAAAAATGGCAGTTTCTTTTTTTTTATTCTTCTGCTTGTGTATGCACGAGTGACGCTTCTCTGTAAACCAATAGCGTTCAGCAGTGCATCTAGCTTCGCCTTTTGGTATCCTTTTGCCATCCTAGGTACCCTTTGCGATTCCTGGCTTAATGTTCTATGCCAATCTTCCCCTTCTCTCTGCTCCCAATGCTTTCCTGTCTGTCCTCCACTATCCTATCCCAATAAAAGTTGAAAAACCCCTGAAAATAATTATTAAAAAACAAAAACAACTGTGCAGATTCACCTGCATTCAACAGGACCTTGACGCAGTCCAGATGCTGTCGTGCACACGCTACATGCAGAGGAGTGCCAAAGTGACAGTCATGAGCTTCCATCAGCGCTCCTTCATCAATCATGAGCTGAACACATTTAGAGTTACCTAGCAGATGAGCAGAATCAAAGAAAAGACAAAAGAAACAATTCATTATATTCACTGGCTCGATCTGAAACTGCTCTTATACCCTTAAAAAAGACGTTAGCAGTGGTATCCAAGTGCCAATTGACAAGACGTTTGTCTAAGCAAAGTCAGACCTTACTGTCCTAATTAAATAATTAAAAACAAGACATGATCATATTCCATTTTGGTAAAATAAGTGTAATCTAGAGGCCTTTGCCCTTCATATAAGCCACTTCTGATCCCAAATGATCAACTAGAAGTCAAGTTATTATTTATTGCTCCTAAAACTTGGATAGGCGACAAGAATTTGTCAGGTAGTGTATAATATCTGGAGTGATTACACAAACATTCTGTGCACTGAACTGTGGCTCACTTTGAATGAATTATTTTAAAATGTAAATTATTTTTAAAAAACTGTATAATTGTTATCATAAGTAGATCTTAAAAACATTTAGATTTTTAGAGTATTATTGTTGTTTATGTCCTTTTATTGTTATAAACCTATGCTTTGTAGAAAAGTGTTATCATTTATAAACTGTTTGTAAATGTGTATCTCTTTTTGTCATGAAATAGCCATTGAAGCTGATATGGCAATGAACTCTAAACTCCCTCTCTCTTGTTCCTGTTCCTCTGTTTCTGTTCCTCTTGGTCAACTATAATTCCAATTGATATGCCTATATAAGGGACATATAGGGTCCATTTTCAAAAATACAATACATCATGATAATGAACATGCACAGTATTGATTTCTTGGGCACTTTAAAATACCATCAATAATTATTTATTTAAAGTTTCATATTGCTATGTAAGAATATTCATATTGTAATTGCAGTCATGATCATAACAGAATCAAATGCTTGGACACTTAATTGTTTTTTTAATAGTTAAAACATGAATATTTTCACGTTAATCTGGCCTACCACATGCTGAAATATTGATAGAAAATTCTGTGATTATTTATTTGGTTATTGTATGTTAACACTGTGCAATACGGCTTCAATAGTTGACATTCTTTATTTATTTATTTTTTATAATTATTTTTTCAGGGTTTTCACCTTTATTGTATGGGACAGTAGTGAGTATTGACAGGAAAGGATTGGGAGCAGAGAGAGGGGAAGGATCGACATAGTACCGCGAGGCGGGTATCGAACTCGGGTCGCCGTGAGCACTGAAGTGCATGTGTCGACGCACTAACCATTACACCACTGGCACCGACGACATAGTTTATTTTAACCAAACTGTAAATCATTTATCTTAGGTGAAGTAAATTTCTTAGTTAATCACTAATAATGACTTTAACTATTACAAGTTATAATTGTTTTATTAAATCTTTATGATCTTTTTTTGCAATTTAATTAGCTTGCAACTTGTTTACTTTAAGCATGAATATACAATAAAGCACTGCACTAAAGTATTTTTTGTTATTACACCTAAAGTAAAGTAACTTTTTTTGCATGTCAATATCAATAATAATGCATTATAATAATGCAGTAATGTGAATCGCAACAAGAAAATTGGATAGTCATAAGCCTAATCCAAACTCAACATTGTACATTTTGCGATGTGACTACTAAGTATGCACTCATTGCAATATCGATGCTAAGATCATATATTGTGCACTGCTGCCCTGACATACGAGGCATCAGGACACTCACCGCCCATGCAGGCCTCATGCAGTGGTGAGAAGGTAAAGAGAGGAGGATTTACTGTGGCTCCATGCTCTAACAGCAGCTTCACACACTCCAGACTTCCAGCAGCACAGGCATCACACAGCGGAGTGCTGCCGTCAATGTTACGAGCATCAACCTGTTAACAAAGACACAAACAAGTTAGGCTAGGTTAGGGCTAGGCTAGGCTAGGTTAGCTCTGGTCAGGTCAGGTTTGGTCTAGGTAGGGTAGGGTTTGGGTTAAGTTAACTTTATTTATAAAGCATGTTCAAAACAGCTGGGGGCTGACCAAAGCTGTACAAAAAAGCTAATAATATCAATATAAGATCCAGAAATAGAAAAGGCAACAAACTGCTAAATACAGCACGGGCAGACAATTTAAAACTTAAGAAGTCAACAGATTAAACACTAATTAAAAGCTATGGAAAACTAATACATTTTAAAAAGAGATAAAAAAACTGGCAAAGATTTTACGCATTACTGGCAGACCATTCCACAATCGAGGACCCATCACTGAAAAGTCCCTTCTACCTTTTAGCCTAAATGTAAGACCTTTCAAAAAGTTAAGATGACAAAGATCTGATAGGTAAGAGCCAGATTGTGTAAACATGAATAAAAGAATTTTGAACTTGATCCTAGTATGCACTGGTAACCAATGGAGGGAAAGTAGAATAAGACCCTAATTCTACCCCTTAGCCTTTCCCCTTAGGCCCCGTTTACACTAGTGCGTTTTAGTTTTAAAACGGCGTTGTAGAATGAAAACGATCCGCATCCACACTCGCGTTTTACCCAGCGTTTCTGAACAGCTCTCCGTCCACACCAAAACGCTGAAAACGCACATCACGTGACCACACAGACACTCTCGGGCAAGCGCTCCAGCATTTCTACCCAGATGAGAGCTCTGCTTGTCGGACTGCTCATCACGCATCTCCCGCTGGATCTAATCTCACTATATTTGCTAAACGTGATATTTCATTCATGTTGTTGTCTTTATCTAACGACATAGGCCAATTCCCTGACTTTGGTCATTGGAATCTATTAAGTTACTTGTTCACGGGTAACATGTTTTGGTTAAGCGCAAAGATAAGTTAATGATTAATCCAGGTACATTGACTGATCGCTCGCCTTTATTTCCTACAATGTATAAACTTATTGTATGTTATACTTTTAAAATTATCGATTATTAAAACTGATACTCAGCAAAAGAGAGGGTGCGTTTCGTATTTTCACTGAAATTGAAAGGAGGCAGTTGTTATAGGCTCCGTTTTGTTATAAAAATCCACAAAGTGAAGATGACGCTCATATATGCAGCACGACGCCTCAACATTTCTGCTGTCTGTTAAGTTGCTAATATTAAAAAGAAAATAGGCAGTTCCTTAAATCATGTTTACATTTTATTGTTGAGAAAGTGAAACAACGTAGCCAAGGTGATGTGAATGAAGTTATAAAGTACACTGTTCCCTTTGAAGATTTACCCGTGTCCTCGGTATGTTTTCCATATCAAACTGAGAAGGGGGAGACTGCAGCCTTGATCAAACTTGCGAAGTCTTAACTTACAAGAAGAGGATGCGAGACTGAACTGTGTGTGGGCTACTTAATATTGAGGAAAAGCCCCAATCAGATAGGCGAACGTTTGCAGCCCCGCCTCCGTTTTCAGATGTCTCCGTCTTTCCCCATCCACACTGAGACGGAGCAGCAGCGTTTTAGAATGAAAACAGCCTCTCCAGCGTTTTCAAAAAGCTCCGTTTTCGGCGCTCGAGAACTCCGGCGTAGTGTGGACGGATGGCGTAACCGTAGCAAAACTTATGCGTTTTCAAACTAAAACGCACTAGTGTAAACGGGGCCTTAGCCCCTGTCCCATTTTTAGTTAGCTTGAAGGAGTAGGGCTAAGGGGGAGGGTAAATAGGGTAAATACCCCTTCGAACAAAGATTTTTCCGGACCACACTCGAAAACGTGGGGTAAGAAAATTTCCCAGAATACACCATCTACAACGGCAGCATAGCTGCACTCGGGAGTAAGGAGATGCACAAATTAGCATTTTTGTCATTATTGTGAATTTTTACAATAAACAAACCGCGTTACTTAACCGCGTTCGTGTTTTACCGTCATGCTTTTCAAAAAATGCTAAAATGAAAACCACTAAATTTCACTAACTATAATCCGTAATAACTTCTGTAGAGCAGCCCCACAACATTCTGACACTCGATGACACTCGAATACCCTGTCAGAAAAGTCTAGTGGCTGGGAATGACCTTTTTACAGTGTCTGCTATAATGTTAATGTTGTTTTTGTGTGTTTACATAGATGAATATGGCCACGGTGTAAATGCACAGCACAGTTACTTATTGCCACATTATTGTCCCATTATATCGTTATGACAACATAATACATGCCTTCAGTGATTTCCTCAAGATAAAAAACAAAAAATAATGAAACTGGAATCACTACAGCAGACACGATCGTCTGATCTCATATGAAGCAAGAGATCATGATGACATATAATGACGTGTACAGGTGCTGTAGGGCTCTCCCATTTCTTAGGGGTAAATTTTAAAGCCCTTCACCTTCACACTAGTTTTTAAGGGCTAAATGTGGGACAAAATGAATCTCTGTTAAAAAGTTTCAACCAGTGCATGCTCTATAGCATGCTTGGATGTTGGTGTATAAGCAACTTGTTTTTTTTTATGTTTACTGAATCGTGGTCTGACCAGTAGCTTATGATGTGGAGGGACATTTTCTGCTAGAGATACTGTTGCCCTAAAAAAACAAAATAAAATAGTTGTAAAAAACACCTAAAAAAGTACATATAGCATAGGAATTCTATGAGAAGATTTTTGCAGTTTTAAAACGGCTTGAAACCATTTATCATCGCATGCCTAACAGAGATGCTGCTTACATGAGCTCCAGCATCCAGAAGCAGCTTCACACACTGCGTATGGCCCTGAATACAGGCCTCATGGAGGGGAGTGATGGAGTCCACGGCCACAATGTTGACAGATGCTCCATTCTCGATCAGTTTCCGGAGCTGCACGACTCTGCCCTGAGCTGCGGCTTCATGCACTGCAGAACGATCTGTCCAGAAGCCCAAACCATGTGCTAGAGAAAGAATAGAGAGACGGGAACAACTTTAAAATGCAGCTTTACAAAAACATGGACGTAACTGATTTACAAATGAAGCATCAGCAATCAGATATGTCATTATGTAATTTATACACAAGAGTGAACTGCAAAAATATCAATTTGGCAGTTTATACACACACACACACACACACACACACAAACACACACACACACACACACACACACACACACACACACACACACACACACACACACACACACACACAGACACAGACACAGACACAGACACAGACACACAGACACACACAGACACACAAACATTGTATTGTAATATATGGTGTTCATTTTTGATACACATAAATAAATAAAAAATAATAATAAAAAGAATAAAAAAATAAATCATATTACAAATAATATGTACTTATCAATTCATGTGCACGTGGTGATACCAAAAATAACAAAATTACATGGTATATTAAAATTGTATGGTATTATTTAAAGCAAAGGCAAGTAAATACAAAAGTCTTATTGGTAATTAATTATTCAAATTTATCAACTAAATCTAGACGGACGGACGGACGGACGGACGGACGGACGGACGGACAGACAGACAGACAGACAGACAGATAGATAGATAGATAGATAACATGATCTTACTATATGGTTAGGGTTAGCATACAGCTAGGTTTAGGGTTAGTTGCATGTAATTATGTAACTGCATATTATTGGTAATTACTATACTATATTACTATAGTAAGTACAAGTACCCTGATAAATAAAGGGACTAATAAATGAAGGGACTAAGCTAGGGACTAAAAGAAAATAAACTAATGAATGTTTGAAAAAACAGCAATGTACTGAAATATGATCCAAAGAAATAAAGCAAAATAGCAAATCTAATTTTGTAAAGTCTAACACAACAACAACAACAACATGTGCAAGAGCTGTGTTCTGCAAAGTGAAATTGTAATGACTCCATTTGAAAACGATTGACGTAAAGTTCGTTTTATATTTGCACACTTGTTCAGTGAAAACTTGTGACTTGCTCCTTATATTGTTTACCATGGTACTTTAAATGTTGGGTCTGAAATCACATGCAAGTATGACTTCCAAACAACATTAGCACTATTTATTATACTGTGAACAATGAAGTACTTTGATTATTCATTGGCTGCTAAAATGATACCACTATTTAGAATTTGCAATAAAGGTTACACGGGGGCTCATTGGTTAGAACTCTTGCCTCACAGCAAGAAGGTCGCTGGTTTGAGTCCCGGCTAGACCAGTTGGTATTTCTTTGTGGAGTTTGCATGTTCTCCCCATGTTGGCGTGTGTTTCCTCCGGGTGCTCCGGTTTCCCCCACAGTACAAAGACAAGCGGTAAAGGTGAATTGGATGAATGAGCGTGTATAGATGTGTTCCAGTAGTGGGTTGCAGCTGAAAGGGAATCCGCTGTTAAAAACATGTGCTGGATAAGTTATCAGTTCATTCCGCTGTGGTGACCCCTGATGAATAAAGGGACTAAGGCGAAGGAAAATTAATGAACGAATTAATTTGCGAATTATTAACTTACGGGGAAAGTCTAAATGTGTGACTATTACCAACTTTACCTTAATTTGAGCACTCTGGGGAATTAAGATAAGGACATTTTCACTCATTATTTCAAGCGACTGTAAAGGACAGTGTAGTAGGCCGTGTACAGCACAGTAACTAAAACTCATCCGTGTGTTGACTCAGGTCACACTGATCCAGGGCTTTAGAAACCTGTTAATTGTCATTGGTGACTGATTCAAGGCCAAACGGCATGTGATCAAACTGCGCGTCTGCCAACAATATATGTCATCGAGCCCGATCTCGGCAGTTATATGAAAACGTGTCGTACAGTTACGGTGAACTCTGAGTTGCACAGTCAAATCTTTACTGAACTGTCATGTATAACAACAGACACACAGGCATGCTAACTTACCAATATCCCCAAAAAGCGAAGGCCTTGTGCGCGTTATTTCAAATTCCATCACTTATTCCGATTTATATGAGTATAAAGAAGAATTTGTGCTTCACATATGTATGCTCCATTAAATTATCGCCAGCCATAGTTTACAAACAGTCGACCTGACAGCAATTCAATGGCGAATAAAGCTATGGATTTTGAGCGAGTAAGCACAAGCAGCTGTGATTGGTCCGTTCTCACTTGCGTTGAGTAAAGTAACAGAAGTCACGTGATAACGCATGACTAGTTTGGCTATAATATAAAGAATCATTTATATTTATAAAAGGTCATGCGTTGAAGATATAATTATTACTTCAGTTAGAATTGATGAAAATAATGGTTTAATTACTTCTTCAAAAAGATTATTGGGATTCTTCGCATCTGACCAATCAGAGAAAACGTCCGGACCGCCCATTTTGACAAGTAGCAGCAGGTCTAGCTTTGCTTGAAAAGTACGTTATGACGATAAACCACCACTTTTTCCTATTTCAAGAAGATATAAGGATTAATAATGTCACACTGTAACAAAAAGGCAACTAAAATATTGAATTTATGTAAAATATTGAATTTATGTAATATATATATATATATATAAGGTGCTCTATTGGATTGATATCTGGTGACTGTGAAGGCTATTTGAGTACAGTGAACTCATTGTCATGTTTAAGAAACCAGTCTGAGATGAGTCATGCTGTGGTATTAAGGGATAGACATGGTCAGCAACAATACTCAGGTAGGCTGGGGAGTTGACATAATGCTCAATTGGTACTAATGGGCCCAAAGTGTGCCAAAAAAAAAATTCCCCACACCATCACACCACCACCACCAGCCTGAACCGTTGATACAAGGCAGGATTGGTCGATGCTTTCATGTTGTTGTTGCCAAATTCTGACCCGACCATCTGAATGTTACAACAGAAATGGAGACTCATCAGACCAGGCAACATTTCTCCTATCTTCTATTGTCCAATTTTGTTTAGCCTTTGTGAATTGTAGCCTCAGTTTCCTGTTCTTAGCTGACAGAAATGGCACCCGGTGTGGTCTTCTGCTGCTGTAGCCCATCTGCCTCAAGGTTGGACGTGTTGTGTGTTCAGAGATGCTCTTCTACATACCTTGGTTGTAACGAGTGATTATTTGAGTTACTGTTGCCTTTTAATCAGCTGGAACCAGTCTGGCCATTCTCCTTTGACCTCTGGCATCAACAAGGCATTTGCACCAACAGAACTGCCACTCACTAGATATTTTCTCTTTTTCTAATCATTCTCTGTAAACCCTGGAGATGGTTGTGCATGAAAATCCCAGAATATCAGCAATTTCTGAAATACTCAGACCAGCCCGTCTGGCACCAACAACCATGCCACGTTCAAAGTTACGTAAATCACCTTTCTTCTCCATTCTGATGCTCAGTTTGAACTGCAGCAGATCATCTTGACCATGTCTACATGCCTAAATGCATTGAGTTGCTGCCATGTGATTGGCTGATTAGAAATGTGTGTTAACAAGCAGTTGGACAGGTGTATCTAATAAAGTGGCTGGTGAGTGTATATATTCAGTTTATTTCCTCCCCTCATTTGATTTATTTATTCACATAATTTGGTTACTTGTTTATAAATGTTAGTTTATAATTATGTGTAATTGATTTACTGATTTTCTTTTTAAATTTATATCTGAATGTAATCATTATTGTACTGTTTGGCATTCCCAAACCCTGGCTCTATATTTGAAATGTGCTTTTCGCTTTTGTATTTCATAAGTGTTAAATAACTTAATTTTATCAATTTCCATATATTCTATTCATATTCTTTTTATGTATGTATACTTTCAAAGAAACCCAAAGTTAATGTTAAATGTGTGTGCTTCTTGATATAATTACTTGCTCAATTGTAGTTTCAGTCAGTTGAATGGTTGGAATGAGCCAGTTGCAGGAATATTGTACTGATAATGATTTGATTATATGATCAGCTGTATTCTACCAAACAAACTGTTTAGACCAATGCTTAAAGACAATTCTTCACCAATTGTTTGTATGCCTATATAAAGACTGGCCACGAAGGACTGCCCTTTAAGCAACCAGAATGAAACCTCTTCTTCAGTATTGTTCCCTTGCTGCGAGAACGTTAAAATCTCATAAAATGAGTCTTGGAATCATTTTTGATCCTGACAATAAGCAAATAAAAAAGGTCCAGATTTTTGATCAGTGTTAAAGTGCACTCTTTTCAGACTGAAGGAATAAACAATGCATATTTTTTCCTTCACAGACTGGTTTATTAATGTGCAAAGCAATGATGCATAACAACTAAAAAATAAAAAAACAAGTCGTTTGAGCAACACAGATCTACTTGTCAGCATTTAGTACCATTTACAACAACAACAACAACGAAAGAAGGAATATATATGAAATGATGTATTTTTTCAGTCACAAAGAATGTTTTCCAAATCCTTCAAGCGACTCCATTAGTGATATTGAATAAAATGTCTACCAGACGTACCAATAAAATACTTTCAAGTGAACAAGTGGGTCTAAAAGTTTGAGACCACATTCAAAATTTAGGATTTTGGAAATGTAAATTTAAATATACACAAGAAAGGTATGTAAAGTAATGAAGAAACGATTAAAATTCAACAATATCACACTAACAGAAGAAGCAAACGTGTTAATATCAGTGCAAGTAATGCGAACATTCTTCATGCCTGCTCAAGTGCTAAACATCTATGAAATATTAAGACATTCATTTCATGCTGAAAACATCCCTATACATTGATATCATGAAACGAGCACTTCAAAAAACATTGTATCAGACTTTTAAAACCAACTGTCATGAGGATAAAATCCAGAAAAAGCAGAAATTTTACGAAATATTTTACATGAAATGCATTTTATTTCCTGCTAATGCTTCCTGATTTTACATTATTACATGAAAGAGATTCTTAAAGGAACAATTAATCCTATATGATTAGGTCCCTCATCATTCTACTTCATATTACATATATATATCTAAAATATATTACTGTAAAAAATTCTTTCTAGAACTTTTTGTCAAGGAGTACATTTTCATGGACACCTTTAATCTGATTTTTATATGATTAAGACAATACTCTGATTAAGAGTCTACCATGTCAACAGCGTTTTTTGATTCATTTAATCCGATTAAGGTCATAATGGAACTAAACAGAAATTAAATTAAGATGTGTGGAGTATGACGATTTTAGTCGCATTAATGAAGTGCAGTTCAGACATGTAAACACCGCAATCAAACTATTACCATCAGGAAAGACTTTACACCACATTTTGCGACAGGATATATACACACTCGGCTGTTTGACACTATTCTCTGCACCTACCGAGTCAGTGAAGGACCAAAGACACCTGCATTGTGAAATGCGAAGATTTTTTTCCCCATTTGGCGACGAGCGGTATCAAATTCCATTAAAACAACACTCCTCCAGCAGTTCCTCGCATCCAGTATCTCGTTTGTCACAGGGGGCATGCATGAAATGTTCCTGAATGAAAGTGAAAGTGCCAAACTGCAGTTACAGTCAGCAAATTAAAAATGAAACACCAGAAAATACATGAAACTGCGGAGGAAATGTGGATATTGTGGTGAGGCAAGGACGTTAATCGAATTATTTACTATAACATGTAAAACAGGATCATGAAAGGAACAATTAAAAAGCAACTCATCTAAACACCTTAATCATATTATTGTCTTATTCAGATTAAGGCAAATAATTTGATTTCTGATGTCCAAGTAAACGTAGTCACTGTCCGATTTTAACAGGAGAATGTTTAACAAAAGCCACTGCTGTCATTTTGGCTTTTCCAATTCCTGCTATTCCTTTACAGTGAGTGAGCAGCTTTGCAATGACCGAAGCACTTTAGTGCATCACAATGAACTACAAAAGCAACAATCAAAGGCTAAAATTACATATAACACTATTCGTGTGCTGGCCAGCAGTATTAAAGGAACACTCCCCTTAATGTTGTTTTGGAAATAGGCTCATTTTGACCATTTTTGAGTCCATTCAGTCGAAATCTGGGTCTGACACATACCTTGCAGCACTCTTGTTTTTCCCGGGAATCTCCTGTATTTCAGACCCATCTCCCACCACCCTCCCATTTTGTTATTTCTCCCGGAAAACTCCTATAATTTCATCCTGTCCCCAGCTTTTTGGTACAGTCTGTAACACCCCCAAGTTGCCAACTTTGGTATAGTATCCAATCGCAGTGGCCGCCCGAAACCCGGTCCATAGTACAGTTACTAACGCCATAGTAATTACTAATCCAGTCATCAACCATGTTATTCAGACAAACACACACCACCACACCCCGGACTCCCAGAATTTCAGAGATAAATGTGGGCAGGTATGGTCTGACAGGAGCACATTTAGCTTAGCTTAGCATAAATCATTGAATCAGATTAGACCGTTAGCATCTCACTCAAAAAAAAAAAGATAATTTTCTATTGAAAGCTTGAATCTACTGTAGTTATATCTTGTGCTAAGAACAAAGGAAAATAAAAGTCAGCTATTTTCTCGGCTAGGAACTATACTCTTATTCTGGTGTGATAATAAAGGAACTTTGCTGTTGTATAGGGTTACCTAACTGGGACTATTTTCAGGCTGTGCATAATATCATTGTGTCTGCCGCAGCCATGATACAGCAGCAAAGTTTCTTGATTATTACGCCGTAATGAGATAGTCTAGCCTAGACTATATCAACTTTTATTTTTTCTGTCTGTGTAATTACAAGATGTAACTACAAAAGAGCCAAGCTTTAAACAGGAAAAAGATTCAAACTCGTTGGTCAATTTTGAGCGAGATGCTAACGGTCTAATCCGATTCAATGATTTATGCTAAGCTAAGCTAAAAGTGTTTCTGTCAAGACTTGGATCGGCTAAATAGATTTAAAAATGGTAAAACTCAACTATTTACCTTGTAAAATGAGCCTATTTCCAAAAAAAAAAAAAAAAAAAGTGTAGCGTTCCTTTTAATCAACTAAACATCAGTGGTGCGGAGGCTGTCAAGGTTTTCAGGAAAGTCTGTGCTGCTGGGAGCAGGCTGAGGCTGGGAATGGTGCCGTTGTCGGCTTTGATGACTTTGTTGAGACTGAATGATGTGGCTGGCGAGTGAGAGGGAGGGGAGAGAGCTGTACGGCCCCTCTCT